TGATGTGCTATAAACTTCGGAAGCTATAACAGTGATTGTTATAACGCTTATTAATCGGGACACTTCAGATATTTGACCAGGAACATTAAAAAATTTCGAACATTACAAACCATTCAACTTCAGTGGATTCACATCGCACATTAGTACTTTTACGAAAACATTACGCAACTTCATAGGTAGAAAAAATCGGCATGTGATCAGTAAATTTCATAGAGCTAGTTATCTCCCTATTAAGTGAACTGTACCTACGTCAACTCGAAATTAACTCACTCATCGTGAACCCTGATAAGATATCAAGGAAGTTCCAGACCAGAAAGAAGACTTTATACTGTTTGTAAGTTTATAAAACTTTTCTATATAAATCATTGTTTGTAATAACTATTTGTAATAATTGTTGTTGTAAATTATATTGCTGTTTGTTTATTGAACCATATTTGTATTAAAAAAGAAAACTGTGTGTATCAATCTTGTTGGCAAATATCATAAATTGGATACATATCGGCATTTATTTAACTAATAAATCTAAATTACAATTTAACTCAGTTTTAGGCTATTTGAAATTGTAATAGGTAACAAAATAAAGTAGTCAAAAATGAATTATTTACATTAACTTATCTGTAATAATTAGATATTCCTTATTGAAGTAATTTTTGTGTAATCATTTATTGCATTAAATTTTCTGAAACATTCAATTTGTAATCGATTCTTACATTTCCTTAACTGCAATAAATAATGAGTGTTTATTTCAATGTTTATATTGGCTTTCTAAGATAACCTTAACACGTTTATTAAGGTTAACTCGAAAAAAAAATACAAAATATGTAGCTTTGTGCTTAACTACAAACAAAGAAACAAAAAATTCAAAATTGCAAGAATTCTCACCATTCTTAAAAAGGACTTTTACCTCGCTGCAAAAACTGATGTTAAGAAATTATTATTATACTTTACAAAAAAGGAATGCTTCCTAGAAAAAAATACGCTATACGATATAAGAAATTAAAGGAAAGAAAAAATAAAGTTATACAAATGGCAATCGAAGTTTCTGGTCTAGTAAGACAAATGTTAAAATCCCACAACTTGGACGATATGAATGCGAACGAAAAGATTGGAAAACATAGAAATAAAAGAAACACAATTTAGGCAAGGCAACCACAGTTTTTTCTAGCATGCTACATCAATGGAATTCACTCTGCCTCTATGTTATTTTTGTAAAGCTACATTATTTTAACCCTATTTGCTATAATAGATCAACACTGATCATTGTGAAAATAGTTTCCAATGAGAATATGCTATTTTTCCTAAAGCTCTGCTTTAAAAATAAAACTTATTCTACCAGGATATTGCATTAGATTTGAAGATCCTTATTGAAAGTTTTAAGTTATTTGACGTATATATACATACAATTTTTCATACATTATTTAAAAAAAACTACTTTATATTTCTTTGGATTAATATGCAGTAAAGTTAAGTTCAATATCTGAGATACCAAAATTAAATGCAAATGTTAAAACTGTTTGAGTGTAATGACGGTAAAAATTTCTACTAATATTAGACCAAATTTCAACTAAGCCTTCTTACCTATCCTGCATTACTCGGGAGGTTATTTTAGACATGCAGTCCACACTCCAATCCAAAGCACCGTTTTCATTACAGAGAGCGATGCTAAACCTGCCAAAGTTAGCACGGATCAGATTGATACGATATCCTGGTTTGCAAGTAATGTTGAGATCGCGTCCCTCACAGGCGTACGCCGTTCTGTAGTGAGCTGTAGCTGCAGACAAAAGGAATGTTAGAACAAGATCATAATTGTACTTGGGATATTTTAACATAAACAAAACTGTATTTATGAAACATAGATCTCTAAAAGTAGAAAAAACTCTAGCTTCAACACTTTTTCGTAGCTTTCAGTAGCCTGCTAACAGAATTCCTTCGGAAAAACAAAACACCTCATTAGAAAATTAAATATTTTCAAGTCTGTCTCGTCATGTTAGCAAATATAGGATAAAGACACAGAAAATAATTAGCAGATGGCGTATTTTACAGAATATAATTTTCAGTTTTACTAATCATGAACGACTTATTGCTCTCATAACATTTTATTCTTCACTAAATAATCAGATCACAGCAGTTATAGGAATGTTTACTAAGACAATAGTAACATGATTATTCTACTTGTATATAATTTTATTTTTCTTAGATTCCTAAGTTTTGGAATTAAAAGTTAAAATATTATTATACGCTGGTCTCTATATTTAATTAAATAAACCATAGCAATATGCGCCACAATTGTTTACAATTCTAGATAAACATATTAGAAGGAAAAATACTACAAAAAAGTACTAGATGGCACTTCGTCGTTTTGAATTTTTGAATACCTGTTAATTTACTTAAGCTAGGTTCCCCTAAATTTTATCTAAAGTTTTGCATTTTTTGCGCAGTTAAATGATGGTAGATGTTATACTTTTTTACTCAGTCAATAGATATAATTACTAAACCTTATTGTCAGATAATCGATTATAGGCTATTGTATATATATATTTTATATTCCTTATACATAACTTCCATATAGTTTCAAAATAAATCATAAATAATCAAATATTGCACATTTATCCTAACTTTCGTATAGAAAACTTAACCTACGAATAAAAACACTATCTTTCTAGTGCTACTATATATATACATATATTCATACGCACGCAAATATATATATATATATACAATGAAATCTGAGGCTGTTTAAAATGTTTTTTATGTTACCATTATTGATGGAAAAATTGAAGTTTGTCATAACATTCTGGAAACAGAAGGTAGGTGCAGCTAAAGTCAGTAACATTTCTGTCGCGCTACACCAGCGAGCAATATAATGTTAATCGAAACCTTCTGCTTATGTGAAAGTAACGTACAAGTATAAGAACCCAGGCTTTCATAGCACGCAATATGGTTGTTAAGCCTCATAAGCACTATGTACACTCACTTACAATATATAGTATATACACATCCCTAATCATTATATGTATCCAATATACATATATGTATTGTGTGCATGTTTCGTATGTAACCGGATATTCTCCTACGAGATTTTAATTTCTTTGCCTAGGTCACGGATGGGATATATATAATTACATAGATATTTTGATATAGTACACTGTGTAGGAGATGCAACAAAATAACTGAGCAACCAGACACGTACAGACGTGTTTTTTTAGGTAGTACTGTTTTATTTTGTTGCTCGCGAATTTCTTTTACAGTAGTGAGTTTGAGAAGTGGTACTCGACTTTACACGTTCAAACTTAACTGAAAGAAACTGCAGGAATTTTTTTTCAAATCACATATTAATTAAAAGAGTAGAAAACACATGGTAACACCCTGTATCACAATATTAATAGCTCTAAGCAACTCACAACCGCTACGTTTAGATGTTCTTAAGCTCTTCACCTAAAATATCATAAGTTGGAATCTCAAACTATTATAACTGAGAATAAATGGGATAGGATATATATTAGTAATAAATTTGGGGTTTGTTTTTCCTATACGTAATGGTTATACACAAAATATCCGGGATTGTAGAAGATGCTAAATGTCTGAAAGTTGAATGCGTTTTCTTTGTTAACACTTTGATAGAACAAGCGCATAGGCATAATAAAGCAGCTTTTCAAATGGTTTACTTGTTTTCTAGCCAAGAAAAAAAAACACTTTAAAATCTGAAGTTTACTCCTTCAATCTCTCCCATTTTTAAGCCTATAAACTATTATATATTAAAAGTACCACACTGCTTCTTAAATAAATGAGTCTGGTTGAAATTGTTATAGATGGCCAGTTCGTAAAGATTAAAGTGGATATGTTTCAATGGAAACTTAGTCAATAATATATAAATATATATAACTCATTTTTTTGCCTCATTGACAGTTTCGTCTAGAACTTAATTTTCTTAAAATACTTTTTCGCATCTTCTATTAATTCTCATAGTTTGCACGCATTTAATCTAGCAATGTAAGGTCCACCTGTTAAAAGTTTTATGGACAAAATAATATATTTGACGATAGACATAATTACGAAGGACAGCTAAGTCGTTACAGGGTCTCAGATCACAATAATGAAATTACCAGGTGCCTTCTTCGCGTTCCTAAGAACACCTTTTACTTACTAACCTACATCTAGATTGAAAGTGTCCGTTTTATCAAATTAGGGACCTATAATTTTGATAGTCACTAAGGTACCACTTTTCTCTGACATTGTCCTGTTATGCTCTTCGTCTTTGACAATTTTCTCGTCGAAATTGTATCAAATTTGAAACCAATGTTTTCGTGGATTTTTTCCCTTTAAAGATTTCTTGGATATTTTGATCCTTCTTTCTCGTTTACTGGTAGTAGTAGTATACAACTGGTTCGCTTTTATGAATTTTGTCAAGATAAAAAAAAAGTATTTATATAAGTTTACATGACTGTAGAGTTGTGAAATAACTTTTACTGGAGTGGTAAAGTAGGATAGCAAGGATCCAATTATATAGAACTTCGCATAAATAATAGCTTTTAATTGGATTTAAGACAATAACCTGAGCTATTTTTTCATGCATCGTACAATATTGTAATGCACCAGTCATGTTAATATTCTGTGGTAGATACAATTATGCAATTAATAAAATCGATGTAGACTGACCGACTACTAGAAAAAATAGAAAATAAGCGGCGTTTACTACAAAAGATCAGATAAAACGTTTCGATGAGATGTTCCGTACTGTTATAATAGAAAACACTAGATTTATTTTATCTATAAACGAATATTAATATCCCGAAAACAGAGCACAGTGTACTTACCGCATTTTCAAATATGAAGACTTTTTACCGTATCAAAGGCATTATCTTGATTACAATCAAATTTTACGAAAATGGGACCAAAAAAGTTAGCTTGCTAGTGCGTCAGTTCCAGTGAATGATAGTAAAATAATAATAAATAAATAAACAATGTTAAAAATGAATAATGTTGCATCATTAATTATTATCCATAAAAATCTGAGTTGTAAATGACTTAAATACAATTGACAATAATTGCAGTTCAATTGCACAATCTGGTTCACTATATAGTGCCTGAATCACTACAATGTCTGTCGTCTCCCAGCTGGATTGATGAGCCGTGGTATTGGGCTAAAGGCGTCGTAGGCACTGAATATGGCAGATGTAGTGGTTGACGTGCTTTCGCTCGCAGGTTCTTAGAATGATCCATACATTTCATAAGAATCACGTATGATTTGTAAATAACCATACATTCAATAGATTCTCAGTCTTCTATACTTAATAACGAGTTGGCAAACAACGATTTATAAACATATTGAAGTGATTTATTTTGACAGAACATTGTTTAGCTTCAGATATGATCTAGTATCTTCCTCCTTCAAAATATATCATTTTATTATGCTTATAAATCATTTTTTGGCAAACTTATTATCACATTACCGTAATCTGATTTCTTAGTCAAGCTTCTATACTTAACAGTAAGAGTTAGATCAAATCAGGATATAGAGCAATGCAAGATCAACTATATTTTATGATTGAGAATACTGAAACCTAAACCTAAAACTCACTAGATTCTACCATCCATACGTACAGAAAGCCCACCATTGTATTGTGTGAAGTGAAAAATAAAATAAAATACAGTTTGGTTACATATAAAAAACAAAGAGTACAATAGACAAAATAAATTATAATGAAAAAAAGATGAAGAATTGATCTACAAAAATAAAATTAAATTAAAGAAGTTCAATTCATAATAAATGTTCTAAAACCCACAATATATATATATGTCGAATGTAGCATCCAAAACCCACAATATATATATATATATATGTCGAATGTAGATCCAAAACCCACAATATATATATATATATGTATATGTCGAATGTAGCAGAAGTTATATTCGATACCTGTTTAAGTTTTTCTGTGCTGAGTTTCTTCCAAATAACGGCCCGAGAAAACCATAATGCCAAGATTTTAAATTGCAGGTGTATAACAGCCCTATGTTAGTCTTGCCACATTGGTAAAGAAACGGGGGAGTCTATTTCATCTTCCCTTGCCCAATCAAAACGTTCTTCAATTTATTCCTTCGAAATGACTTTAGACCTTAGCCAAATATTTCATGAAACAGTTTCATAATATAGGAATGGCAAGCGTTACACAAACAGAAGTTTCCTTATATCACTGAAACTTGCTATGTTTTCAAGTGCCCCCCAGTAGCACAGCGGTATGTCTGCGGACTTACAACGCTAGAAACCGGGTTTCGATACCCGTGGTGGGCAGAGCACAGATAGCCCATTGTGTAGCTTTGTGCATAAATTCAAACAAAAAAAAATGTTTTCAAGCACGTTTAGATAATTCTAACATATAAGATTCAACTACATATTTAAAACTTGCCAAACCTTCGAATTAAAACAAGCCATGTCTAGAAGTAATGTGCGAAATAGACAAGTACGTTTATTTATTGCTTAGAGTTTATATAACAAACCAAAGCTTTAAGTACACTGTCTCAAGAAAACACTTTAGTTATAGATGGATTTTATATAAACACTGTTATGTCTCCTGGTATACGGTTTTTGATTTCACTGCTCAGACTCATTGATTTACGATAATTAGATGTAGCTTGTGTAAAATTAGTACTTTGATAACAGTGCCGACGCACAAAATAACCCGAATAGTTCAAGCAGATTTCAACCATCAGCATTAATACCCTCACAGTTTCATGCGGGTTTTTTATCATTCATATTGGTAAGGGTAAATAAGT